TCAGCATCTATAGCCCTTCCTTTATGCTCATCCTAGAGACGGTTGGCATATGCTGTCATTTTCTATTTCTTCTGTAAAATCCTTGCAATAAATTATAATAAAACTAAAATGCTTGCTTTAAACCAAGGTACGATGTTTCTCTTATATTTGGTGAATTTATGTTTGATTATTTTACAAAAATATGTTGCGGTGAATGATGGGGTTTTGCTTTTAAAGGCTAATGTTTACTGTCTTACGGCCATTGTTGCCAGGTTGGGATGTTTCCCAGTCTGGAAGGTCAGGACGGCCGTCTATGGATAAAAATGTTTTTCTTTAGATTTATGGCCTAAGAGATCAATAGACTTTGGTCCAAATTGGGCAAGATTTCGTATCTCCAGGTGGTTTATGGACATTTTTGGGGCTGGTGTAGATGGAAAATCATTACCAGGCCGAGTGATCTCTTTTCAGGAAAAAGAACCGGAGAGATAGAGCTTCATGGTGCATAAACAGAGATTATCTTTAACACAACTTCATTTTTTAACTCCAGTTTAACCATGAACTCCACAGTTTAACAATACTGTAGAAGAGACTTTAGATGAGGTCCAGTGTCCTGCGGCTTTACCATTTGTCTCTATTTTAACGCACCAGAATCAAATCATTTGATCATATTAAATCATTTGATCACTGAAAGAACTCTGAAAACTTCTGGCATCATTCAGAAATATAAAACTTGCAGGAAAGCGGACCTCAGGGTCGAAGTTCCCCTTCTCTGGATCCAGGTTCCTTCATTTTGGTGGCCGTTCCAGTGAGAGCGACGTATTGTTGGAGATGAGAGCTGTGCTTTCTCTAAAATGAATTTTAGTCAGAATTTATACAAATTGGACAAGAATAATAACGGATCAAATTAAGCATTGACATATATATATCTATTTGAGAATGTTTTAACAAGAATTTTTTCTAAGAGCGGTTCACTGGCAGGTGATTTCGTTTATTTAGATTCTTCCAAATTAACCAATCTATCCATTTCTTTCTTTGCTAAGAATATCCGACTCAAAACATGATCAATATGACTTTTTTATTTTTAGCTCGATGAATGGAGGCCTGCTTAGTCTGACTTTTTTGATCTGTAATGTAATGAAAGAAGCTGAACTGGGTTATTATCTATCATCACATCAATTCTCTGTGCTGATTGGCTGATTTAATAAGTTATGATTAAATGCATATTCAGGATTATATACGATATTCAGCCTGTGTCTTTCTAATTCAGGGCACTATATATAGCAACTTTGCACATGTGGTTTTTATTTGCAATAATGGGAAGTGAAAACGTTCCTTTTCTCCATAAGTTCAGGCAGGTGGTAGTAGAGGAAGCAGCATCTGCACAGCTTCCCCAGCTGATAATGGCATGGTTCTTCTCCACTAACACGGAGGGATAAATGCTAGATTCATAGTGTCTTTTCTTTTTAAAGAAGCCACTAAGTGGGTCTGGACTAGGGCTGCCAACCGTCCCTTGAAAAACGAAAAAACGTTCCATATTTAGAAATAGAAGTATCTGTCCCGTATTTAGTGGAAAAGGAAGGCATTTTGTCCCGTATTACTGTGAGAGTAAATTAATAGTCAGTAAAAAGCAAATGGAAAATGAAGAACAAGGGAACGTTAGATACAAAACTTACGGTGAACTTGTTCCAGTCCCTGTCCTGCGTTGTGACCAATGAGCTGACAGCATATATGTAACCATCCAGAATCTCCTCATCCTCATAATGATTTTTTTCTGTTTTCCAACTGCAGCCTTCAGTGATTGCATTTATGGCACAAATATGTTTCCAAATTTGCACAAGTTCGCCAAATATTTATTTATTGTTTTATATTCATTTTTACAGTTTGAAGTTAAGCAGGACAGGCTTATGATTAAGATGCTTATTTTATGCAGCAAAGTTTGTTATTTTGTATCAAACAACTGCTGGACAATAAGTTGTTTTCAAATGTGTTCATGTTGCTCACAAATATGCATCTAATTCAATGCAGAGTTGAGTCAAATAGTTACAAAAAATCTTTTCACAACGACAGGTTTCTTCCTTTTATGGTTTGATCATGAATATTTAGATGAGCTGTGCTCTGATTGGTTGGTTTACAGCGAGCGAAGCTGCTGAGCAAAGACGCATCATAGCAACAAGCACTCACTCACTGAAACATCAGGTTGTTGATATGGTAGGGGGACCAGACGTCCTCTTTTTCCCGGACATGTCCTACTTTACAGACCTAAAAAAAAAACGTCCAGGTTCTTGTGGGAGGCGGTTCTAATGTTACCTGCTGGATTTGCAGTTGTTCAGCAGACCGATCCCCAAACTCTCAAACAAAACTAAACAAATAAATGAAAATCACAAAGTGACGTTAAATGAGAAGCATTATAATTAGTTGTGGAGTTGAAAGTACAGGTGCTTAATATAAATTTTAGTGGAGTTAAAGTAGAAAAATATCCAAAGTCTGATCAGCTGATCGATTTTATTTTTTCTGACTTCAGTTTGGGTTTCTGTGCTCCGCTCCAGTTGAACACAAAGGTTCTGGAGAAATTTCTCCACATTGACCTCCTGATGCATTTATGTTTGAGGGAACAAAATGTCAGCAGTGTGGCAAAGAGGATCCTCTCCACAAAACAAGGAGAGGAGTTTAAATAGTGATATAAATATTTTAAAATGTTTGTCTCAGCATTGTTTAGGAGGATGCGTAGAGGATGCTTAACGTATTCACCACACTGAAGCGTTTCGCTGCTCTCTATGCTGAACGGTCAAAGTTCCCCTCAGTTAGGACTCTAGGGGGCGTGTGCAGTTTTCATGTCAGATTTCGGTATTTACAATAATTACGATGACACATGAAAGCACCATGAAGGATTCCTGATTCTGCCAGCAGATCAGAAACCGGCAGCTAATTAGGAAAGATTGGTTGATTTTCTCCTTCCTCCTGTGCAGAGGTGGGCACCAACGACTTCTATTGTTTGAGGACTTTTTGGAGTATTTGTTTTTTATCCTACTTTCAGTGGCGGTTCTAGTCCAAATGTACCAGGGGGCCAGGAGGGGGTTTTATGGGGGCACAGAAAAGCATGAAACAAAACAACAGGCCAATATATTAAGAGAGCTGCATAAAGTAAAATTTCCATTCAATTAGGTTTAATTAAAATGATATGTCTTCCAACTGAAAATATTTATTTTTGGCTTGAAAATGTTCATTTGGAGTATCGTTAAAATCAAAATAAAAATCCTGTATAAATATCTAAAAGATCAAATAAAGCTATCATTGGAATATTAGGTCAATATACATTCATAATTTAGGAATTATACATATTTCTAATTTAATTTTAGGTAAAATTACATACAGAGTTTTTGTTTTGAAAAACAGTTAGCAGATGAAAACTAGGATCCTAGCTCAATACCACTGCAGCTATCGCGTTACTGTTTTTAAATAATTAATAAAACAGAATATTTTAAAGAAAAAAAGTGAAATAGATCCAAAGGAGCTATCAGTAACCAGTCTGTTAGTATAATGTCTTCAGTAGAGGGGCCATAACAGGGGCCAGGACTCAATCTGCAGGGGCACTGGCCCCCGTTGGCCCCTGTCTAGAACCGCCCATGCCTCCTTTTTTTTTAAGTATTGCTATGAAAATGTTGCTACTCTCACTTCACTCAGTTTTCTGATTCCTTTACCCACCGTGAGTAACTTTCAGATATCAGGCGATAAGGCGGTAAACCGTAAATATTGAGGTTATTTTTTTATCTTAACAGAAAATTGTAAAAAAATAAACTCTGGCTTAAAAAAGCAGCTTTTCTGCTTTGAGGCCAGTCTGCCCTGGTTGTTTCTTAGATCTTTGGACACTCTGCTGTCCTTGAACGCAGCGCTGCAGGTTTCTTTGTGCACATATGTGGGATTACGGCTGTGGGAGTGCCTGTTCTCCATCTGTTCGGGTCTGAACCTTTTCTTCCTTCCTTTGGTCTTTGCCCTCCATATTTCCTTTCATTTCCACTGCTGCCTCTGGCCTCTGAATTGCTCCTTCTTTCTCATATCCTTCCCTTCCTGTCTCTTATTTTGGGTTTTCTTCTCCTTTATCCTCTCATCTTCAGCTCATCCTGCTTTTCTTCCCTCGCTCCTTGTTCGTCCTGTAATTGCCACCTTTCCCTCCTGCTGCCCTCGTGGCTCTTCTACTGAAAGCCGTCTGATATGAAGGAGCAGAGCGTGATTAATGGAGGAGAACATTGGCTAAATGTTGGGATTGTGTGTTTAGTTTGGTTATGTTCTCACTGTCTGTTCATGCAGCCCAGAGTCTGGACCTGTTTAGGAAGTCACCGTTCGGCTGAGAAACCTCAACATGTGGGAATGCAGAGTCACTTTACCGACTTTATTACTTCACTAAAGAGCTGAGAGACGGCAGCTACTTCAACGTTTTTCGGAACTACCCATTAAATGACGTATTTTTTTCCATCAGACTGGTTATAAACCAGCTTTTTATTTGTAGATTTCCATCAACATTGGATGGTGGAGCAGTTTTAGCGCTGCTGCTTTGCAGTGGGATGTTCCTTTCTGCATGTTACTGTTTTCCACAGCCTGCAAACATCCTGATGGATTCTGCCAGGATGGATGGTATAGGTCACAGATGTCAAAGTCAAGGCCTAAAAAATAAAGGATGGATGATACTTAATTACCATTAGAACCAGCCCACAGGCCACGGCTGCTTGTGCGCTGCTGTGAGTTAGTGGGCCACCGTTGCATTGTGGGGAATGGAGTGTTTGTGTGGTTATGTTGCACAGAGCAACACTACATTCCCACAGGAAAACATGATTTTGTTTTTCTTTTATTTAAATATTTTTGTTGTGCTTTGGATGTTTGGATTGTTTTGATTTTTGCTTTCCCCCCTTTAACAATCTGGGCTGAAGTCTGTTGTCTGAGGAAGCGGAGCTCACTAACCGTGCTGCTCAAATGCTGGGCGCAGGTGTCAGCAGAGGCTGATTGAAGCCAAAATAAAAGGAGCCTGGATGGAGGGAGGAACAGAGCTGATCCTGCAGGTGATAGAGACGGACACGCTGCTGAGCGAGGGGTAGGTGGGATCCGCCCGATATTCTGATTGAGACGGAGACCTCGTCCCTGACTGTGCCGTCTGTTCACCTCCCGGTATTCTGTGCCTGGAGTGCGGATCCCACCTGCCCCTCGCTCGGCAGCGTGTCCGCCTCTATTAGGGGTGGAACGGTTCACAAAATCCACGGTTCGGTTCACGGTTTCATGGTCACGGTTTTCGGTTCGGTTTATGTTGATTGTTAGCATGACATGTTGGTCGTGTTGCTGTTAGCATAAACCAAACGTGTTCCACAATGCTTGCACACTGTTGCACTTTTATCCACAGCTTCCTTCCCGCCGTCATCGTAGGTCACTCTAAATGCAAAGTGGTCCCATACAGCAGACCTATAAAGTGCTGCTGGCGCGTCTTCCAACTCCTGTTCTTTCCCACTCGCCATACCCACACAATTCTCCACAACAACTGATTTTTTTCTGCTACACCCGGCTACGCTGCTTCGCTTCTTCTTCTTCTTGTTTACTACTGGTGGTTGGCTTTGGTCGCAGTACCGCCACCTTCTGCTCTGGAGTGTAAACGCTTTGCCTATGAGAAAAAGGAGCAGCGCATGAACCGAACGAAACACACGCGAACCGAACCGAGACAGTCGAACCGAACGGTTCGGACGGTTTTCATAAACCGTTCCATCCCTAATCTCTATCACCTGCAGGATCAGCTCTGCCCCTCCCTCCATCCAGGCTCCTTTTATTTTTGCTTCAATCAGCCTCTGCTGACACCTGCAGGCAGCATTTGAGCATCGCGGTTAGTGAGCTCCGCCTCCTTAGACAAGTGCGCTTGGATTGTTGAAGGGGGAAATTAAAAACCAAAACAATCCAAACATGATTTATAATTGAGTTCTACCAGGAAAAAACGCATTTATAAATAGAAAATAAATCCAGAAATGAAACTTTTAAAGAATTCTTAATAAAAAAGGTTGTTTTTTTTAGATTTTTTTCTGCACGGCTGCTCCGTGCTCAGAGTAAGAAGGTGCATGGCGCCAAACAGTGGTGAATATTGTGAGTGCAGTTTAATATAATACAAGTATGTGAATAGTTGCATCTGAAATGAATAAAAATAGTTATTTTAAATGGTCATCGAGTTAGATATGTGATGGTAATGTTTGATTTATTGAAAGGGTTTTATCTGTCCCTGTGTAAATGGGTTTGGCTGATATTTAACCTTAGAGTTTGGACTATAAATCTGATATCTGAGACGACGTTACTGCTGCTGAAGCTCCTTAGAAATGTTATTGACACCCAGAAAGGTAATGAGGCGGTCGCTAGGTGACAGAGAATACGGGCGATAACACCTGGAGAAGGCTGGACCTGTTTGAATCCATGGCCAAACTCTTCCGGCCTCCTTATTTTTATGGACCTCGAAGGATCTAGTCGAGACGGACCGGTTCTTTGGAGGATGCACTTTCTGTCAGTTCATCCTCCTGCACACATTTAATATCAGCTGCTAATCAAATAGCTACCCCTTGTTTTTCTGGATTGTTGGAGCCTTTTGTTGTGGATGGGCTCTGTGATTGGTCAGTTGAATCCTAATGGAGTGCTTATGTAATCTCTTTGGGAAGACTTCCAAGCATTTCCAATTGAGCTGATGTCATGAACCTCATTATTTGTTCTGATCCTCCTGTTACAGCTTCTGGGACGAGGACCTAAGCAGCCGTTTCCATCTCTGGGAACCTTCATCTCCTCGCTAAGCCAGAGGAGGGATGCAGGAGGGCGGGGCTTTGCTGTGGGCATCGGGGGAACCATGACCGGCTCGCTGGGGATCAGGCACAGTGAGTCCACTACTGCATGTTTTACCCTTTGGTTTACAGATTTCTTAGGTTCCAGTTGCCTTAATTTGAAAAAAAAAAATGCATCAGGAAATGAGTTTGAGAGAGGAGGAAAGATCTGCAGCAAAGATCAACTAATGCTGATTTGAACCTTTTGGATCAAAGTAACCGAGATGTTAGAATGAAAATATTCCTCATACCTGCATAAAATGCAGCAAACTCAAAGGTGATTTTTCTCATTGCATATGGGAGTGTGAACATATGTCTTCCTGGAAAAGGGTGAGGGACATGATCAATAAAATGACTAGTATTAATCTACCATTATCAGTAAAAACATTTGTCCTTAAATTCCTTTTGCAAAGAAGGGAATACATTTTCCTTAACATGTTTGTTACAAGCTAAGCATCTTATAACTTAAAAGTCCAAGCACCACATGTAAATAAATGGCTGAAAGAAATGGCATCTAACATGTTCATGGAAGGGAAGGCCTGATTGTAACTCTACTGTATTTGCTGCCCTTTGACCTCCTCTGATTGTCCTCCAGTCGGTGTTCAACAGATGTTCCCAGTAAAGCAGCTCCTCACCTCCAGCCTGACATGCTCTCCGTCTGGTTTGGTACTCTCAGGGATGACCTGATCTGCGTCTCGTCTGGGATGTAATGATGTGTTACTTCCTCTGTTTACAGCAGGCCTGATATACGCGCTCAGACTGCAACCAGCACGGGAGGGAGAGGAGGGAGACGCTGTGTGTGAATGACTGCTGATTCTATCAGGATAAGACCCGTCGCTCAGATTTCTGCTGATTTAAACGCTGGTTTCTGGGTTGAAATGAGCAGCGAGGTTCTGTTTGAAGAAGTAAAATAGAGACGTCTGCTTGGTTCTGATCCGGTGTTTTTACATGAAGGAGGATGCTGGTTCTCGTAAAAGGCGAGGTTATTTCTGACTGCCATGAGAACAGAGACCCAGCGGAGCGCTCATCAGCCAGCTTTGTCACCACGGCTACTGATGCCAGAATAATTACGCCAACCTCCACCCCAAATGAAAACCATATGAAAGCGAAACGCTGAACACACACACATACAAGATGCTGCAGCATTCCTCCACCAGCCGTCGAGTCTGCTGGATAATCACAGTTTCAGGAGGTTTGTGTTTCCCTTTTCATTTTCTCAACTAAGACTTTGTGTTCTGAGGCCGAGCTAATCAGAGGTTCATTTTGAGGTTCGGGTCAGAATCAGCAAACCCTGACACTTTGGTTTTGGAGCTAGTAGCACCAGAGGATAATAAAGTATTATCTCTCCCATCGTGGCGGCTGTTGCATCTACGCTGCACGCAAACAGGAGAGAAATCACAGGCGTCCTATGAGGCCTGCATGGCGGCGCAGTCGGCCGCACTGATGCCTCGGAGCTACAAGGTCTGGGGTTCACATCCCGGCTTTATTTGCACAGTTTGCATGTTTTCACCATGGATGAGTGGCTTCCTCCCACAGTCCTAAAACATAAATCTCTCTCTATAAGAGACATTCTCCATGCTGTGTGGAGAAGGGGGATGCGTCCTCTGAAGTTTTTCAAAAGTCATTTTTATCCACTCTACGGTACACAGACAATCGTCGAGCACTAGGACCAAGCGGAACCCCGCAGCTCCAGCTGAAGCCACTGATCTTTCTTTATTTACTGGATTGCTGATTGTCCGTTGGTAGCACGGGGTTGAAGTGAAGCCACCGGCTGCCATATTGGTACTCCCTAGTTGGACCGGTCCCAATGTAAACAATCTGTGAGCTTCAACATTGAACAACGACGATGCTGTTTTCATTTTCAGATGGACTTAAGTCTTTTAAAACAAAGATAAATTCATCACTTTAACACAGACTGGCTGTTTCATAGCATCAGTAGATTACTGTAATTTATGATTTAAAAAGAATAGGCCCACCACATTAAATAGTCATTATGAAGTCAATGAAGTCTATAAATCATGTAATATTACATATTATACAAATCCATCACAATAAAATCAATGTGTTAGTGGAGCAGAATAATACAGATGAGCTAAAAGTGCTAAATGGATGATTTACATGTAATATACGTGCATTGATTACATATTATTAGTAATTACATATTACATAGAATTTTAAGACTTAACATCAAGACCGAATTAAAAGTACATGTATGTTAATGACACATTTTATTACAATGTGTAATTTCTATTTCTATTTCTAAAACCGAAGTAGCTAAAATACCAGGACTTGATAGAGTACCAAATTGCAGTATTCATGTTCAAAGTAAGAAAATATCCAAAAGATGTTCTCTGAAAGGGAGGGAGGCTACGATTTAAGGGGAAAGTTTAAGACTAATAGATGTAGAACAACAAGGAAAGAAATCTAGATAGGTCATTTTTTTCTTAAAATAAGTGCATTTGTTCTTGGATTGAGGAGGTAAAAGAGACATTTTGCCAATGGAACAAGACAATTTACACTTAAAATAAGAAAACACAGTTGAATGGTCTTATTTTAAGAGCATATTATCTAATTATCTTATTTTAAGAATAAAACTATTCACTCCATTGGCAAACTATCTCATTTACCTGCTCAAATTAAGGGTAAATACACTTAATTTAAGAAATTTTGACTTATTTGTAGATCTTTTTTCCACTGTATTCATCAATTTGCGGAGTTAAATTGTGGAACAAACTAAATGAGAACCTAAAGCAATGCCCAAATATATTCCTTTTCAGAAAATGTACACATAATTTATTTTCAATAGGTTGGCTTATAATTTATTTTCAAAATGCTTCTCGCATTGTAGAAAGTTTTGTTTGTGTTTTTTGTTTTGTTTATTTGTATATATGTATGAAGGTATATGCGTATACATATTTATGTATGTATATGTGTAGGTAGGGATGTATTTATATGGATATATATAGCAACATAATTATAAATATTGTAAATTGAAGAAATACAAGAATTAAACATTGTTTTATTGTTTTTTTGTTTTTCTCTTGCATGTAAATAAAGAATAAAAAAATAAAAAAAAACATAAAAAATAACAGCATCATCCAATTTATAAAGAATAACTACATTGAGATTTCACAGTAAATGACTTTCTATTTATTCTACTTTCTATTTTCTAATGTTAGACATAATGTCACTGACTAACTCAGTCAATATCGGTCCCAGAGCCAGACTGTTACTCCACATACTATAAGGATACATCATATATATTCATTATATAAACTGATTTTCTTGGTTATTCATCCACTGACTGTGAAATTACCTGTGAAACTTCTTCCTAACTGCTTGTTTTTGCAGCCAGATGCTGCACAGGGAGGCATAGTTATGGCGCGTCTCTGTGGGAGTAGGGAGTACCAATATGGCGGACGGTGGCTTTACTTCTTTCTGGCAAAGTGTTTCATTTTCTTCTTCAATTCAAGAAAAAAAAATCCCTTGTTTTAGGAAAAAATAGCTTATTTAAATTTCAGTTTTTGCCGTTTACTCCTGTTGTTCAGTAACTGAGGTGATGGAGGTTTAACCCAGCATCAATATTTGGAAAGCTGTGATTAGACATTGGAACTTGTTTGATGACAGATTCATATACAACCGCATTATGTTCCCAACTTCCCTCATCACAATAATAAAAGCTTAATCAGATGCAACATTCGGTGGAAAATACTGCAACCTGCTTTCATGTTCTGCATAATTATGACGGAACGCTGAATAATTTCTGGGTGTTTCTTTATGACCACAGCAGGGCTGTTATGGACGGTGGGGGACTCACTGCAACAAGAAAGAAAAAAGAGAACAATGCAAAGAGTGTCCCTTATTGCACCTATTTTGAGTAAAATTATATGAAAATAGGATAAATAATCTAAGTTTTTATGTGGAAATTAATCTCAAAACATCAAAAAGATTCCTGAGATAGATCTGAGATCATAAGACTTGGTTAGACAACGCTTTTTTGAGTAAATCCAGAGAACAAGAAGTCCTCTTTGTTCTCATCACAATTATTGGGAAGTGTTGCATTGAGATCTTCTCTTTAACTGATAGTTCTAGATCATTATGAGACAGAGGAAGGTGGGTCCAGGTGTTTATTTGTCCATTTCCTACTTTAGATCCAAGAAGACACACAGGGAAAGTGGAATAATTAGACATCCAAACTCTACATGTTTGGATGAAAGTGTGAAGATCTCCATGATGGGACTAAATATAGACCAATAAATTGAACAGAGGCTAATTTGGACTAAAGAAAGAGGCTCTATCAGAGGCACCGTAACACTGAAACAGGAAAACGATCAAAGGCCTTAGCGTGTCGCTCCTCCAGGGTTTCTAATGATGAAAAGTTGCCATGACGACCGGAGTTGTTGCCATGAGGAGTGACCCGGACGACGTGCCGGTCCAGTCCCAGTCTCCACCCAGCCACGGCGCAGCGAACCCTGGGCTGACATCATCTGTGTGTGCAGCTGCTGCGTTTGCATGAGAGTTCAGGAAGGTTCACGATGATTTATGGAGGAGAACTCAGGCTGAAAACGAGACATCAGAGTTCTGGACAGACGGGATGAAGAGACACAGAAAGAAACCAAACAACAAACTAGATATGGATAAAAATCAAACAGGCGGTTCAAAGAGCTGAAAGTATCTGATGGTGGGATTAGATTCTTCTGTCTTTTAGCCGACTCTCTCACACTCAGGGGCGGA